CAGTTTAAGGATATTTGCACTAATGTGTATGAAATGCAGATCTACTTATAATTACAGACTTTCAACATTTTATCTCACTTTACTGAAGAGTATCCATTTGTATTAATTCATAATATAATACTTATGACTAATAGTTCCACATTTCCAAACAAAATAAAATCCTACAACTCTCCTATTTCGAAAAGAGTTCTCCATATACCTAATTTAGAAATGAGTGAAACTTCTGTATTTTTAGAGAAACTCACAGAATTAGTGCAGGGTATACACCTTAACAAACCATTTCCCTGAGTCACTGGAAATGATCCAAAGCAAAATATATTCATTGCAAGATTTTAAAGCCGCTCTGGCCAGAGGAGAAAATTATAGCCATATAAAGCTAGCAAATGCACCAATAGGATAGTATATCCTCAGGAGAAAGGAGGCAGAAAGGGGAGTAAGGGAAGGTGGGGAAAGATGTCAACAGCAGAACAACAACTCTGGTTCAGTGCGAGGAAAATGAGCATGAAGACTAGCACAGCCAGGATCCCCATCCTCTCCCTGCCACACCTTCAGAGCAGAGGGTGGAGAGGCAATTCTGGGCTCACTAGCAAAACACCCTGCAAGATACAGAAATGAGTTTAGTATGGCCCCGTCACTCAAGGAGTAGCTGATAAGACAGACAAGCTGAATCATAAGGATAGCATAAGGCAGAATGTAAGTGCTCCTTGCTAAGGTAGCTAAAAAAGGGGTTTATTGCTTCATTTTGAATTAGGGTACAATCATCAGTTATAGGAGGAAAAAAGAGGTTGGCAGGTTAGTGAGCAAAAGTGCAAAGTATTCATTAGTTTCACAATTAAATTGTGTTCTAAAAATCCAGATTAAAAGAATATGTACATCTATAAAACTTCAAGTTGAAATGAACATATGTCAAAGCCAAATAATTAAATACAAACCCCTTTGCTCCTATGCCAAGATCTGAGCTCATAGTTCTGGATAAATAACAAGCTATAGTTCATTGACCTGTTTGGCTATTAATGAGCTCATCAAATTTTTTTCAATAATCACAGACATTGCTGCACTTGGAAAATGGTTAAGTAGAAAGACAGGTTGACATTAATATTTTTCTGCTAGTCTAAGTCTACATTGAAGGCATAATTCTGCAAATTAAAATGTCAGGTGTATTTATTTTGAGATTACCTAGAGACATTCAATTTTGCATTTCATAGGCCTTTAATATCCTTTTGTGTCTCCATGTAAAACATTTATCTTTGTCAAAAATCTTGAAATCATTTGTAGATATACTTTTTCTTTTATTGGCTGTGTTAAGAATATTTACCTGTGGGAACTATAATAATTCCAAGCAATTTACTGTCTGGCCAAAAGTATCACATTTGCACATGATTTATTGATGAATAACTTGTGCAAGCTTAAGTAGCACTTCATCAATAACTGTTTTCCCTAGCGACTCTGGGACAGACATTGTGCATCCCTCTTTGGCCTAATATTACATGGACTTATCCTAGTAGTTGAAAAACTCAAGATAGTTATTCAATAATTAGGCTATTAAGAGTTTAGAAACTCTCTTTGCCATGTTCATTAGGAGGATGTCATTCACTACTTCATGCACGGTATGCCCCATTAAGTCTTTGGGGAGAAAATTCTTTCTGCTCTTTGCACCAGGATCAGTTAATACTTATTGGCAACTGGGTTCTTTTCATCTTATGATGAAATACAGTCTTTCCTTCACTGTATTAACTCACTGTATTTCCCTACTTTTATTGGTTGCTAGAAAACATAAAGCAAAAATCAAGGGCCACCTGTGCAAGTCCATCAGGCTCCAGGCCATACACTGTTGATAGTAAAAATATACAATAGAATTAATTATTATTGTAAGAGGTATTAGATTTCATTTAATATTCATAATAATCCTAAAATATGAGACTTGCTATCTTGACCAATGTGGAAACTGAAGCTTAGGGAAGTCAGCCAACTCCCTTCAAGGCCACTGAGCTAGTAAATGGCAGATTCCTGACTCAAAATGTAGTCTTTTCTTTCTAACACTGAGGATCATGCTGCTCACTGTTTCATTATTCTGCCTCCTAGCCCGTCTGATGCTTCTGCCCCTCTGACTCTATTTCCTTCTACTAATGGAGTAAAATTAATAGACCAGAATTCTTTCAATAAACACCAAGACTCTTCCAAACTTCTTGCAAGATGCTATGTCTGAGACCCAGTGCCCATCTGGCTCAAGCCACTCAAGTGCTGGGTGGCAAAGCTCCCCACTGTCAGTTTTCTCCCCAGAAGACATGCTTGTTAGTAGAAAAGAAGAGATCATGGGCAGCTCTGTAGTTCAGTAAAGGAGCAGAGGTACTGCTGGAAGGTCTCAGTCTGAACGTTGCTGCTGCATCACCATGTTGACTATATGGTTGACTGCACATGCAGATGCCTGCCAAAGGGTGTGTACGGCAGGGCCTGGGCCCCAGCTTGTGCTCTATGCTAGTGTTTCCAAATCCCTGACAGATATGAACATTCAAAATCCCAGAATGAGATATAAGAATTCCCAGAAATTCTCCAGAATTCCTGAAATGGTAAGTTATTCTATTTTTTCCCTGTATTTTATTTATGTTTTTAAGTAATAATGATGACCATAATAGTGAATACTTTCCATAGTAAGAAACAGTGAATCATTTTTTGTGATTGAGATGCTAAAAATTTAAGAGGTTTTTTGATTAGAAAAAGCTCTGTATTGCAGTAACAGGTAAAAATGATCTCCACCTGATATTTGATAACAGAAGACACTAAAAGAGGGGAATGTTAACACAAAAGAAATGCCAAGTAAAAGCCATTTTAAATATTGAAAGGTGGTATAAAAATATTTACTATTTATATCATTTAAAATGAAATTTTAAATTGCACAAAGCATGAATTGTCCTAGCCAATGAAATAATATCACATGTGTTCATTTTTGTTTCAATGCAAATATTCCAAGTGTAAAAAAAATTTTTCTTTTATTTTGTACTGACATTGCTCAAACTGTTAGGAAGGTTTCAAAAGCATAGTCAGAGGGTGTGAGGGGCTGCTTCATATAAGCTTGATTCCTTTTTTAATGATGAAAGTGTTTGAACTGCTCATCCTGATTCTGGTTTGGCTATTGACATCTATATTGTCTTTGCTAATTTAGATTGTAGGTCTATCTCTGGCTTCATGATAGAGTGTTGTGCAACAAACATTTCATGGCTTTTTTCCCTTTGCATTTCTTCTTTTAAATTATTTACAAAGAACAACTTATCATGCATAAGACATAAAATATAGTAAATATTCAAACACTGACAAAATGCCAGCAAACATTATTAGGTACACCCGAATAATGTAACATTCAGATCTCCCAGCAAGCTTGACAAGGCCACATAGAATCTTGGTCGAAATTTCAAATTTAATGACTTATTTTACTTGCAAATTTGTTATTTCTTGGAAGACCGCTAATAGGGTTTGTGTAAAACATAAACCTGTTAATATTTATTTTTGCAAGAATGACTCACCATTCACAGCAGACACACATTTATAGCAGAGTAACAGCTACAAGAGAGTCTGGCTGATGGAATTGTGATCACTTCTCTCCTACTTGCTCCTGTCTTGATGCCTGGAAATACTTACCTTTACCTTCGACTCTGCCATCAGTATGCTCTTTTCTTTTCTAACTTTATTGAGGAATAATTGACAAATATAATTGTCAAATCATATTTGAAGTGCATATACATTGTGGGATGATTATCAAGATCAAGATGAGTAACTGCTCTTGCTTTTCATGATGTCAGTAGATTCCTTTGAACCAGCAATGTTTTTATGATGATCATTAAACTTTAGTTCTCACAGGAAAATTATAATATTTTTCCCAATTTCTTGACTAATTTTTTTGGGATTCAGGATTCAGGAAAACATAATTTTTTCTGAGAAATGCTGGGAATTGCAGCTGAGGCCATGTCTTATGGAAGAAAGGGGCATATTTTTCTTGCAGGCAAACCTTTTTCAGCTCATTGTATCCATAGGCTGTGTCCCCATAGAGGGCCTTTGTTCAAATCACAAAAAATGTACATATGAAGTGTTTTACCTGTTTGCTTGGGATGACCTCAAAGGCACAGGAAAAGTATTCTTTATCAGTTTAGGAGTCTCATAAGTACTTTAAATATGCAAAGCCACTGGCAAATGCCCTTGGTTGACTTGACCAAAGACATGGAAAAGCAGGAGGAAAACATGGGGAAGTCAAAATGCTGTTTTATCAAATACTTCCGGACTACAGCGTTAGACATGACCTAGACATTATCAACATCCAGCTATCCAACATCAGAAATTAATATTAATCTGTGTTTTGGCAAATCATTTTCCTTATCCCACCCCCATCAAATACTTAAATACAACATTATGTGGGCCAGTTGGTACATAAAATGTTTTCACAATCTTATTTTACTTTAGAAAGTAATGGGAATGGACCAATACATATTTTAAACACCTGTAATATATCAAGACACTATGCCACATGTTTCAAACATATTTTCTCAATCCTTGAAGTAATCCTATAGGACAGGTATTAATTTTCTTCCATGGGTTGAGAAAAATAAGGCTCAACACCATAACTTTTCAACAGCAACACGCTAGAAAGCGACATAGCCTAGCATTTAATCTAAGTCTAGCTTAAAAAAATCCATGCTCTTTCCACCATACCATGCTGCACAACATAAACTGGTGGCAAGTCACAATACCTGGTGGATACCATGGCCCATTGCCTGCTCCCAGCCAGGGGAGAGGGCTGGTACCCGGCATCCTGGTTGCTCCCTGAGGATAAACCTCCTTATCCTCAGGGTAATAAAACGTTCCCCTGTGCCCCGCGTATACTTGAATAATAAGAGGGATGCTTACTACCCTTATTTGAAAGAAATATATATTAAACATGGAAGCAGAGTATACATTTTTGGAAAAGGATTGAAAATAAACATCACACACATAGTACAAAAGGTCTGTCTTACCTTTAAATATTTTACCAGCTTCTGAATTTGCCAATATTCCGATGGCAAATCTGCATTTGCTTTCTGATGGTGGTCAGGGGGTTCTTCATCTTCCTCACTCTCTGAGGAGCTCTCACTAACAATTTCCTCAGTCTTATAAGCACTCTTACTAAGAGCAACAACAATGTATAATAAATATGTTTAGCCTCAGCATTGGACATGGTTATAGTGCTCACATTTCAGCAATGTATACATAAGCGATGGCTAAGACACCAACACCTTTTGAGCTCTGGAAATCTTTGTTAACATTTTTAAGAGGAGATGAATAAACTACAGCAGGACAGTTCAGTATAATTGCTCTGGGTATGATAATAATAAAGAAAATAATAAGAAATGAACAAGGGAATTAAGTACATGTCCATTTATTTAATAAGAGAGCTAAGTAAATATATAGTATAAGTAAATATATACTCATAGTGGTTAAACAACATAAATAACTTATGGTTATTTATATTTACATTTATTTTGTTAGTTAAAATTGAACACAGTTAAAAATTCAGTTCTCCAGCCACACTAGCCACATTTCAAATGCTCAGTGATCCCATGTGGCTGGCAAGTGGCTACCACAGTAGATAGCTCAAGTAGAAACTGTTTTTATTATCGCAGAAAGTTCACGTGAGCAGTGCTGTAAATGCCCTAAGTCAGTGTCTCCTTTACCACAGGCAGTACTTTATTTCTCACTGCTCTAGAAGCTTCTAACTCCGTATCAATGTCATAGACACCAGCTAGTTCACTCAGGGCTTCATGATCCCATCTAATTCATTCTCATTTTCCTTCTTTCTCTCCTTCTTTTCCTCTCTCCAATCCTCTGTGTGCTTTCTTCCATAAAAGTCCTTTCTAACCTATTCCACTTGAAGCATAGGAGGAGGATGGGTAATTTCCAATTTTTTAAATTTTTTAGATTCTATGATTCCCTTAATTTCTCACAGGTTTTTGGCAGAGAGCCATGTAGACAGTGCAACATTGCTCTATGGGCCTCAGCGAGATGAAATCCTGGACTGAACTGTTGCTATTCAACAGACTACTCGAGTTGAGCTTCAGCTTCATGTATTCTCTTGTCCAAATGATGTCAGGAAACTGGGGCTGGTTACAGCGGAAAATCTGGTATATCAGGTCTACTTAAGAAAGGACATAAATTTCACTCAGTGGTCCTAGATAGAACATACACTGAATAAACCTAGATTCTCAAGGGAATCTTTGAATGTACCTTAGTTAGCCTAACAGGTTGCTGGATTTATGGGCAGAATGCATTGAGTTTACCCAGTCACTCCCAAATCATATAAAAAAAATCAGTACCCCGAGGGAAAGCTGTTCTTTTTTTCCACTGATAAATCCTTTGATATCTAACTGTAAATAGCTTTCCCTATTTTATGATTCCCTTCCAGTCCTGTCCCACAGCAACTGTATGCTCAGGAAGTAAAAAGAAGCAAATTTCAATGTTTAATTGACTTCTGAACTCTTAAGAAATACTCCTTTACCACATCATCATATCCACTTAGGCAAGAACAGATATAGAGAGGTCATAATTTTTATCATTGAGTAATAGTTGTTATTTGGATATACTACAACCTTGCCTTATCTATTACTCTGAAGTTCTCTGACTCACTAAAATCTGATTTAAAATTGAAATACATGAGACCAAACATCTATTTCAGGAAAGATAAAGCAGATAAGGTTTTTTTTTCCCTATTCCTCCCACTAAGTACAGCCAAAAATGATAGAAATAGATAACAGACTAGTTGCCAGGAATTAAGAATGATGGGGGAAGGGTGTGACTATAAAGGGTAGCAGGAGGGACTTCTGTATGTTGTATCCTGATGGCCATGGTCATCACACGAATCTACATATGATAAAAGGACAGGGAACTATACCTATGTCTTGTACCAATACTCATCTCCTGGGTGATACTGCACTATAGTCATATAAATGTACTATTGGGGGAAGCTAGATGAAGGGTAAATGAGACCTCTGTATTATTTCTGCAACTTCCTATGAATCTATAATTATTTCCAAATAGAAAAGTCTTAAAAAACTGTCAAATTGGGTAGCTTATTATGTTGAACCCAAGAACATAGCCTACACATAATAGAATGTCTTAAAGTTGTTTTTTCCAAGTGTGCAAAGTTTATAATGTGAAATTTCTGCTATCTCTTCTGCCACCACTCTTCAACATCTTAAAAAATGGCTGACCCTTCTCCTCCAAATATACTATTTTTGTTGTCAAACTGAAATCAGGCAAGAAGTATATTTCTTAGCCTTCTATTAATGGCTGTTTTAATGAGAAATAAAACATATCACTTTAAAACTGGCAGAGCCATCAGTGATCAGTAAAGGGATACCCGGAATGGTGATTAACATTGGACGACATGACTGTTCAGAGGTAAGGGATCAGCTAAGAGCCCAGTTTTCCTGTCACTTAGTTCACTGCTCTTTGCATTTAATTCATTTGTTTACACAGAGTTCACTAATACCAGGATATCCCTGTATTTCAAGTAACTCTTCATTAAAAGGAAACCTTGTAAATATATTTACAGAAAACCAATATTATCATTTTTATAGCATTCCTAGTAACTGTCAGTATAGAGATCCTAGGACCTTAACATAATAGTAAGAACACCATTAAATAGTATGCTAACCAGCCCATAGTGTAACACATGGTAGTTTTAAAGAGTGGGTCATGTAAATAGAAACATACCGAACTAACTGTGCTTTTCCAGATGAAATAAATAGTCTTGACTTTTCAAGTCTTCCTCCATGTTTTTCCTCTTGGGTATTTCTTAATGAGGTTTTGTGCCTAAAAAGCATTAACCTAATTAATTACTGTATGCTGACTAATAGGAAGTTAAAAGTAGAAATGCATGCAAATATTCTGTCATTTTCATGCATCCAAATTCTATATTTCCCTGATGCAGAGAATGACTATGAGTTCCAGCCTCCTCTGAGACCTAAGATGTCTCCTTTCTCCTTCGAGCACAGCCATGCACACTCTATAATGAAGAAAGACTTTTTCCAGTATTTCCTTGTACTAGGAACAGGGTAGCCACAGGTTGCCATTGTTGTGTAAGGCCTCCATGCCTCTCCCTCTACTATAGGTTCTTCCTGCCTTGCACTAAAATTGCTTATTGTCTTACCTTCCCCACCCAACATGGCAGCAGGGCCTATATCTGGTTTCCCTGGTATTCCCAGGTTTAACATAGTTCTTGGCACATAGTGGATTTTCATTAAACAGTTGTTAGGTAAATTTATAATTGAAAATAATGAGCCCGTAGAAAAAGCAGTATTTTAAAATTCACCTCCCAGACAACAGAGCAGCCCACATGTTTGTCACATTTCCACACTTTCAAATAGAGCCACAGCTCTCCCCAAATCATTTTGAATTAGAGGAGCAACAGTTATCATCTTTCCTTCCTTCTGTCCCCTCTCCGAGTTTGCTTCCAAATACAGTTATCCCATAGTTCTCAGAATCCCTGCACGTGAGGGTCCTGGATGACCCACCAGGAGCCAGTTCCTAACCCAGTCAAGTGACAACATGGGGCATTAAAAATAGGCTGAAACTTGGAAGCCTATTTGACAAATTTAACAAGTGCGATAGGGGCTTCTGACTGCTGTGGTGTCCATCAGTGGCCAGGGACCGCACTGGCCCTGCATCTTAGCTTTGGCATCTATTTATGAAGGGCCCTAAAGGGAACTAGTTCAGCATAGTTCAGACATTCACCAAACCAGGTTCCACTTTACTTAGGCCTGTTAATATTTCTGAGGCTCTAGCCTTTACAGTATTTACTTAAAATTCTGTTAATGGACAAGACACTATTTCTCTGAAGGTTTCCCTGATTAAGTCCATATAATTCTAATCATTCCAAATTCTACTAGCATTTAATCAGTCCCTACAACTACGTTTGCATATCCTGTGTGATGCACTGTCCTTTGCATGTGTCATTTGCCCCAACTTGCCGACTGCCTGAGAATCATAGGAGGAGGATGGGTAATTTCCAATTTTTTAAATTTTTTAGATTCTATGATTCCCTTAATTTCTCACAGGTTTTTGGCAGAGAGCCATGTAGACAGTGCAACATTGCTCTATGGGCCTCAGCGAGATGAAATCCTGGACTGAACTGTTGCTATTCAACAGACTACTCGAGTTGAGCTTCAGCTTCATGTATTCTCTTGTCCAAATGATGTCAGGAAACTGGAGCTGGTTACAGCGGAAAATCTGGTATATCAGGTCTACTTAAGAAAGGACATAAATTTCACTCAGTGGTCCTAGATAGAACATACACTGAATAAACCTAGATTCTCAAGGGAATCTTTGAATGTACCTTAGTTAGCCTAACAGGTTGCTGGATTTATGGGCAGAATGCATTGAGTTTACCCAGTCACTCCCAAATCATATAAAAAAAATCAGTACCCCGAGGGAAAGCTGTTCTTTTTTTCCACTGATAAATCCTTTGATATCTAACTGTAAATAGCTTTCCCTATTTTATGATTCCCTTCCAGTCCTGTCCCACAGCAACTGTATGCTCAGGAAGTAAAAAGAAGCAAATTTCAATGTTTAATTGACTTCTGAACTCTTAAGAAATACTCCTTTACCACATCATCATATCCACTTAGGCAAGAACAGATATAGAGAGGTCATAATTTTTATCATTGAGTAATAGTTGTTATTTGGATATACTACAACCTTGCCTTATCTATTACTCTGAAGTTCTCTGACTCACTAAAATCTGATTTAAAATTGAAATACATGAGACCAAACATCTATTTCAGGAAAGATAAAGCAGATAAGGTTTTTTTTTCCCTATTCCTCCCACTAAGTACAGCCAAAAATGATAGAAATAGATAACAGACTAGTTGCCAGGAATTAAGAATGATGGGGGAAGGGTGTGACTATAAAGGGTAGCAGGAGGGACTTCTGTATGTTGTATCCTGATGGCCATGGTCATCACACGAATCTACATATGATAAAAGGACAGGGAACTATACCTATGTCTTGTACCAATACTCATCTCCTGGGTGATACTGCACTATAGTCATATAAATGTACTATTGGGGGAAGCTAGATGAAGGGTAAATGAGACCTCTGTATTATTTCTGCAACTTCCTATGAATCTATAATTATTTCCAAATAGAAAAGTCTTAAAAAACTGTCAAATTGGGTAGCTTATTATGTTGAACCCAAGAACATAGCCTACACATAATAGAATGTCTTAAAGTTGTTTTTTCCAAGTGTGCAAAGTTTATAATGTGAAATTTCTGCTATCTCTTCTGCCACCACTCTTCAACATCTTAAAAAATGGCTGACCCTTCTCCTCCAAATATACTATTTTTGTTGTCAAACTGAAATCAGGCAAGAAGTATATTTCTTAGCCTTCTATTAATGGCTGTTTTAATGAGAAATAAAACATATCACTTTAAAACTGGCAGAGCCATCAGTGATCAGTAAAGGGATACCCGGAATGGTGATTAACATTGGACGACATGACTGTTCAGAGGTAAGGGATCAGCTAAGAGCCCAGTTTTCCTGTCACTTAGTTCACTGCTCTTTGCATTTAATTCATTTGTTTACACAGAGTTCACTAATACCAGGATATCCCTGTATTTCAAGTAACTCTTCATTAAAAGGAAACCTTGTAAATATATTTACAGAAAACCAATATTATCATTTTTATAGCATTCCTAGTAACTGTCAGTATAGAGATCCTAGGACCTTAACATAATAGTAAGAACACCATTAAATAGTATGCTAACCAGCCCATAGTGTAACACATGGTAGTTTTAAAGAGTGGGTCATGTAAATAGAAACATACCGAACTAACTGTGCTTTTCCAGATGAAATAAATAGTCTTGACTTTTCAAGTCTTCCTCCATGTTTTTCCTCTTGGGTATTTCTTAATGAGGTTTTGTGCCTAAAAAGCATTAACCTAATTAATTACTGTATGCTGACTAATAGGAAGTTAAAAGTAGAAATGCATGCAAATATTCTGTCATTTTCATGCATCCAAATTCTATATTTCCCTGATGCAGAGAATGACTATGAGTTCCAGCCTCCTCTGAGACCTAAGATGTCTCCTTTCTCCTTCGAGCACAGCCATGCACACTCTATAATGAAGAAAGACTTTTTCCAGTATTTCCTTGTACTAGGAACAGGGTAGCCACAGGTTGCCATTGTTGTGTAAGGCCTCCATGCCTCTCCCTCTACTATAGGTTCTTCCTGCCTTGCACTAAAATTGCTTATTGTCTTACCTTCCCCACCCAACATGGCAGCAGGGCCTATATCTGGTTTCCCTGGTATTCCCAGGTTTAACATAGTTCTTGGCACATAGTGGATTTTCATTAAACAGTTGTTAGGTAAATTTATAATTGAAAATAATGAGCCCGTAGAAAAAGCAGTATTTTAAAATTCACCTCCCAGACAACAGAGCAGCCCACATGTTTGTCACATTTCCACACTTTCAAATAGAGCCACAGCTCTCCCCAAATCATTTTGAATTAGAGGAGCAACAGTTATCATCTTTCCTTCCTTCTGTCCCCTCTCCGAGTTTGCTTCCAAATACAGTTATCCCATAGTTCTCAGAATCCCTGCACGTGAGGGTCCTGGATGACCCACCAGGAGCCAGTTCCTAACCCAGTCAAGTGACAACATGGGGCATTAAAAATAGGCTGAAACTTGGAAGCCTATTTGACAAATTTAACAAGTGCGATAGGGGCTTCTGACTGCTGTGGTGTCCATCAGTGGCCAGGGACCGCACTGGCCCTGCATCTTAGCTTTGGCATCTATTTATGAAGGGCCCTAAAGGGAACTAGTTCAGCATAGTTCAGACATTCACCAAACCAGGTTCCACTTTACTTAGGCCTGTTAATATTTCTGAGGCTCTAGCCTTTACAGTATTTACTTAAAATTCTGTTAATGGACAAGACACTATTTCTCTGAAGGTTTCCCTGATTAAGTCCATATAATTCTAATCATTCCAAATTCTACTAGCATTTAATCAGTCCCTACAACTACGTTTGCATATCCTGTGTGATGCACTGTCCTTTGCATGTGTCATTTGCCCCAACTTGCCGACTGCCTGAGAATGAGCCGTGTCCTCGCCTGCACAGTGCTCTACCTGCAAACCCTGTTGGTGTCGGATCCTTGCACTTGGAATATGAAGGGGAGCAGGGAGGAATCAACTCATATTGTGAAGGGAGCTGTAAAGATCTATTCTGTATTTTTCTACTATGAAATAAAATTATGTGAAAAATTAGGCAAACATGCTTACTGAGGAAGTATGAGGAAATTCCTTAGGCAAATGTCTACATACTTTTTGAAATCATCAGTGGCCTTCCAGTTTAAACTTGGCTGTAATCTCTTGGTCATTTGATTCTTCCCCAAATTAATTTCATTCTCCAATGCACTCTTGTCTGGACCAGTAACAGCTTTATGAAAGGCACTTTCTTCTTCCTTCTGAGGTGCATCATTAGGCTGATCTTTTTCCTTTTGCTGTTCTTCATTGAATTTAATATCCTTATTTTAAAAAAAATTAAGGATACTTTTTACAGTGGTATCACCTCTGAATTGTTTAGTGCTATCTGAAAATTAACACTTGATAAATTCAGAAAAGGAAGTCACAGATGCATCTAACTTAGGTTGCTTAGAGATACAAATTGCAGAATAGCAACTGCGGGAGAGAGGCCTCTGTTGGAATTAGGCTGACAGTAACGTGATGGTCCTAAGCTCGCATCTCTCCTGCAGCACAGACGTGATGGCAGGGTGGGACCTAAAAACTCCTCATTACCCCTAGGAAAGTTCA